AACCTAGGTTTAAGGATCAAAGAACACAAATATGATATCAGAAAATGTTCTAATGCGACAGTTTTGGCCCAGATGGCGCAGGCAGAAGGTTCATTGATACATTGGGATAAAGCCGAAATCCTGAAACAGATACACTCGCCGGCATTGGCAAGAACAGCTGAAAAGATAGAAATCTATAGAAGCAAACTTGAAGAAAAATGTATTAACGCAAGAGATGCGGAGGGTCTTCCTTCCGCTTGGAAGTTTGCGGTTAAAAGCTTAAAAAAAGCGCAGGAAATTTAGTATGAAATAATAAGCTCTATATAGTTAGGCAGACGATATTATTATTTAGTAATGATATTATGTTATTTATTTTGAATATTTGTATTATTTACAAGTATTATTTATTTTTATGTTATCGGTTTATTTGTATTTTTGAATATTTAAACGAGTAGTTCTATTTATGAAGTGTTCTATTTAACCTGAAGATGATCCAATGAATGGATCGAAAACGTTTGTTTTAATTAAAAATAATCTCTCAGCGAAAAATAAGGTGTTGGATTACATATTTAATTGTTTTCTGCTGGGTATAATTGTGGTTTATAATGTTCATTTCATCTTTCTAAATGTCGGGCTCCTGATGTTTAGAAAGATCTCAACGATCTTTTAAAAACATTTACAAACTTCCATCCTGCATAAAGTGGTGATTGACACCATTGGCAGATCTCACATTTGGTACATTGGGAGTTTGGATCTTTTCCCATCTCCACAGTTATCTTGTCGATTGCTTCTCACTCATGGTGTCGTCAGAGTAGAGATTCACTGTCTCCATCTCTGGCGTTCTCACATGTGTAGTGCCAATGACTGCAAACTATTAAAAAATGTACTAACATTTTTAACAATTAACAAAAAATTAGCAAATAATTAAAATTTGTAAATAAAATCCAATAACAGATGGTGCCACAACCATTATTTGCCATCCTACATGTGGGAACAAAAATGAAGACAAAGAATCACATGGTCCTCCTGTTCATTGTTTGAAATTTACATTAACTTTAAAGAAATAACAATTTGTAAAAGATATATTGTCAGATATTAGGTTTTAAATGCATTAGATATATAGTAAAATGCCAATAGATATAAGAAATATTATCTTTCATTTTTTTGTTCCATTTTTATTATAAATTTATTTTCTTTTTATATCTTGAAAGGTATTATTTTTTCTTGTCTCTAAAAATTTTATCTTGTTTTTCCATTTTATATTATTTTTATCAACTTAATAGAAAATATTTGGGTTATTAGTAAAAACAAAACTTTAAACAATCCAGCAAATCTTTTTTAATATCTTAAAAATGCTTTCGAACACTTTAAGCGGTCATCCTCAGTTATCATTTTGAATCGAATGAAGAATTCTGACCCTGAGCTTATAAAAATGGCGGTTTTTCGGTCATGGATAAGGAGGGCATACATGCATTGCACCAGCATCTGCAACACTTACAAAGAGTTGGAATATATCCGAAACATAGCGATACAGCAAGGATACCGTAGAGAAAGAATAGATACTCTCATTGCAAATTGGCAGAAGCGACACCCCTCGCAGGGAGGGAATCAGCATAAGGAAAGAGTCGTGCTCAATTACATACCATTCCTCAAAGGAATGATTAAGAAAGTTACCAAAAATAAGAATACACAGATAGTTTACAGGTGTAATCCCACCGTATACAGACTCTTAAGAAACAATAAAGGCAGTTATGAACGCAATGCGGTGGCAGGAGTATACTCTATACCGTTAAAAGACCGTAGATTTAACTGTAATTTGGTTTACCTAGAAGCAACCATGAGAAACTTAAAGAAAAGAATTGTTGAACATAAGCATTCGGTGAATAAAAACATAGACTCTACGGTGCTTGCTGCTTTCGTCAAACAGCAGAATATTGAGGTCTTCTGGGATCAGGCGTCGATCATCAAGGCTACAAGATCCAAGCAGGCTGTGAAACATCTGGA